ACCGCCCACACCTCCCACCACACCGCCGACGATGTTTCCGATCATCTTCGGTTCTCTTTTTCCTGGAACACAGTGGATAGCGACTACCAATAGCTTGGAGAGTGAACGTTGCAGTGAGATCGATTGCGGCGGAGGTGGTATTTATTGATGCAGAGCATCCGCCTGTGTCGAACAAGAACAGGTTTCACGTGTCCACAAATGGTTCCCCAAATAATTTTACGTACATGGGTTTCACGTGGTTGGGTCCACTGAATTAAATACATGACATCTACCATATCCAAAATAAAAGCAGGCTTTAGCCATTTGCGATCATATTGGACGACTGTTTCTGCGTGAAGAAGCTGTCAGCATCAACTTACCCACCATGAGAGAGACTTGGATAGTATAAGAAGCGTCTGTGTATAAAAGATTAGGATAATAACGAGGAGAAGTTGCGTTGATTTAATGAAATGTGGATGTAGCCAAGACCAGAACGGATTTATAGGAGGGTATGATTTAATTAAGGTGAAAGCACGGATTGCTACGCACTTTTAGAATTCAATGAGGACAAGTAAATGAAGTTTGAAGATAGATCAGATCTGAGGATGCACTTTTGTTTTTTATCAGCTATCACTTTTGTTATCATCTGACTATGTATTAATTATTTGGCACATTAAGCTAATGTGATGAGGAACATTTTCTTTTTTTATTTCTGCTTGTTTGGCTGTGATAGTTGACAAAGTTTAAGTTAATATTTTTATCTATCTATTATAGTAATCATATCACTTAAAAGAAACCTAGAGTGATCGAGTTGAGGAGAACACATGCGATGTTATTGGCATATGCTCGAGTAATCACTACAACAAAACTCATCTTAGACAAGATAAGGGGTTGTCGCTTTATAAAACTGTTATTATAAATGACTAATTGCAGCGATTTTAGTAAGTGTTATGTTAACTTAGACTTTTAACTACATTTCTAAATTGGTAGAAAAATTACTTATCATCGGGATGATTTTTTTGTCTTAATACATTGTGCATTACATTTTTTGTCTGGACTGTCTTAATGCACATATGTTGCATTGAAACCATGCTCTTTTAAGACATAAAAATAATCAACATGCTTTAATGGTATAAAATTATTTGCATATTTAAATTACTTAAATTCTTAGGCTCACATCCGGTCATCACTGATCAGATAATTTAATTCACTATAAAAATATAAATAATCCTAAAAAATAAAAAATTTTAATTTTCCTTTTATTTCAGTAAAATAGAAGTTAGCTTACAAGAATAGTATCAACAAAGTCTTAAGGTCTTCAAGAGATCAAAGAATGTATAGTTGCTATGGTTTTAAGCTATGTGGATAATTATGCAGCCATCTTGACAAACACAACAATATAGAGCTATAGCCATAGTTGATCAATCAAGTAATCAATATACATGATGAAATTAACTTATACTTAGCCATTCATAAGAAATACATTGAGAGTCTCTATTGAGAAATTCAATCTGGTCAGATGCTTTAAAAGTTCAGAAAAATCATTTTCACAATTTATAAACAAGAAATATATTGTTTTAGAAAATAGATGTCATGTTTTTGGGTAATCATAATCTCTGTAATTGTACAGAAAAAATACCAATACTGTTTTCTTATGAACACAAATTTCCAGAAAATACTATTCCAGAAAGATGAGTTAGTACAATGTCTTGTGAACCATGTGAAGTCTATTCCCATACAAAACATGCAGATAGGTAGTACAATCTTATATTATAATTATTTGTCTAAGAACAACTCGCACTGCAAGCTTCTACAATATTGAATGATTCACCCAATCAAACCAACAATAAACTAATTTCATGTGACATCTCCGACATAGGAGAGAAAAAAAATATAGCTAATCAGATGTGAAATACGGCTGGATATCTTGTCATGCAAAGTGAGATGAAAATGCAATTAAAATGGTGTATTCTTGTAATGCATGTAAACTAAGTGAATTATTGGATTGTCCCCAAGTGGGTCCTTTTTTATTTTATAATTTGGTTTGTGCATTTTAGTCCTTATCTAATGACATCGATATATGCGCATGTCACATGGAAACACGTTGGAAGTGCATCCTTATCCGAAAGACATCGAGATATGCCCATGTCACATGCAAACATGTAGCAAGTGCCATGTGGTGCAATAGAAGTTGTTCTTATTTTCAAAGCAATGTAAAGAGGGATATTTGGTTTTTTATCTAAGTCATTTTGCACTACAAAGGTATTTAAAAAATTATACTCTGTCTGCCAACGCAGAGGACGATATATAAATATTTTATATATATAAATTTTAGATATATTATATTTGTGTTTTTCTCATATTAGATGGTATGGTATAGGTGTTAAAAACCTTATAATTTTATTTAATAAGTTAGCATATTTTAATTTTAAGATTACTTACTTTTTATTGTACTCTTATCGATAGTAGTAATAAAAATTGAAATATGATATCCTATACTTTTTAATTATATAAGTAGGATATAGATGAAACTAGGAGTTAGGTATTATAAAATTATCCTAAGAAAAAAAAAAAAAAAGAGATCGATGAGTGCTCTTTTGTAATGGAGATATCATTACAATCTCTGAAGATAATGATACATCTTTTCAAAAGAGTTAATTTCTATCTTCCGCTTATATTGAATGACAATATGACTAATAAGTTGAGTTTGGATAATGACTCTATAGTAGAGATCGTGGATTTTAGGAAAGTAAAGATTAAAATGATTAATGGAGTGATGCATTGGAGGATGTAGCTTATGTTCTAAAGATGTAGAAGAATCTTTTTTTGTTAAGTTTTTTAGATTCTCGAGGTTATGACAACAAGGCTGAGGTTCTAAAAGTTATTCAGAATTGCATGGTTACGATGAAAGGAAGATTATATCAAGGATTGTATCATCTAGAAGGAAGTACAATAAAGACCTTCAGAATGTAGATGATTGTAAAAGAAAAAAATCGATTGATAGTAAGATGGTGATGTAGAGGTCTCTCCAGAATTAAACAACATCATTGATTTTATTTTATTAACATAGGATGCATTAGCAGGCTTGCTAGAATCTTGTAATGGATTGGCTACAGTGAATTCTTCAAGCCAATACTTTAACTTTTGCGAGAGGTACAAAGTAAGAAAATACTCATAAATGTGGTGATTGTCAGGATTGAAAAGTAGTTTTAGGAGTCCTAGTTGTATTCAAATTAGTTGTCAAACTTCTAATTAAATTAAAACTCTTTAGTAAATTAATATTTGTTTCTATAAATGTATCTTGTGTCTCAAGGTTTTAGTAAGAAAGAGATGAGATGCTCTTGAGAGTAATCTCTAGGGGTTTTTAGAGAGGATTGAGAGAAAACTTCTTCAGATTTATATGAAAGGGTGTACAAGGGTAAGTGTGCTTGAGTGATGATAACTCAAGAGTCTTATAATTGATATTATATTGAAGAATTTGATTTTCTTCATGCATGTAGGCAAGAGTTGTAGATCACAGTAAATCTTGTGTCGATTTATATTATATTTTAGATTGCTAATCTCTAATATATTTTTCTTTTAGTTTTTAATTTTTTTCTTCTCTCTCCTTAGTAGTACCACAATTGAGGATTTTGATCGCTAAGCGTGAAGAGAGATATTATTAATTATATTATTAATTGTTTAGTGTGCCAACAAGTAAATGCTAAACAGTAGAGATTTATTGAAAAATGATAAAACTTACCCATATTAGAGTGAAAGTGGGATCATATGACTATGGACTATTGCTTTAGGAGTATTTAGAAACTAACAATGATGTGACACTATTTGAGTGATTATTGATCATCTAACGAAATTGGCACATTTTGTCCCGATTAAGAAGATACATTTCTTAAAGAAGATGGCAAAAGTATATGTCAAGGAGATTATCTGACAAAATGTGGTAGAATAATATTTAAGATCAAGACCCTAGATTTAAATCAAAGTTCTAGGGTGGTTTATAGAAAGTTTTGGTTACATAGCTCAAATTTAGCATAACTTTTCACCTTCAGATTAGATTCACAGTTTGAAAGGACCATTCATACATTAGAGGATCTTTTAAGAGCTTATTCGATGGATTAATATTTGCACTTGGTGGAGTTCTCTTATAATAATAGCTATCTCTTTGGATTCAAATGGCACCTTTTGAAGTTTTATCTAAAAGAAGATATAGATCTCTACTTTATTCAGATAATTTAGGAGAAAAAAAAATTATTTGGGCCTTAGATGATTCAAAGGGATATAGACATTATTCAATTGATTCATAAGAGGAGGTTGATAGCATCTCATAGTTAATAAAAAAACTATGTTGACCGAGAAAGATGATATTTGAAGCTTGAAGTTGGTGATCTTATTTTTCCCAAAGTATCACTGAGAAAAGGTATAATAAGATTTGGAAAAAAAAAGGAAAAACTAGCTCCTCGTTTCATTACACCTTTTAAAGTTCTACTAAGGATTGGTCAAATCATTTATAGAGTTATCCTATGGCCAACACTTTCATAGATGCATACATTGTCAACTCTCTCATGTCTTAAATTACCAACTACTTCAATCATGAGAAGATACTCCTTACATGAAGCAATCAATACAAATTCTAGAATGAAAAATGCATAGTTTGAGAAGGAAAAACGTACCCTTGTTGAAGGTTCATTGGTAACAACATTCTATTGATGAGGTGACTTAGGAATACGAGGAAGAAGTCGAAATATCTCCATCTATTTATTGATTGAAAATTTTTAAAATTTAAGATTAAATTGCTAAATAAGGGAGGATGTTATAATTGTGACTTCTTATCTATTATTAAGAATCCAATTTGAAGGGTAGGATTTTCTTTTTTAGTATGATTCTATCTTTTATTAGGATTGCAACAACTTGATATGCTGGAGATAGTTAAAAATTGGATCAAATAAATTTGACATCACATATGTGGTATCATTACTTTAGTTGAATTCTTTAGTCCTATCTATTAACAATGGAGGGAAAATCAAGGAGTCCATAGAAATAGATAAGATTACTAGTATATATATATATATATACATATATATATATATGTATATGTATATATATGTATATGTATATATATGTATATGTATATATATATATGTATATATATATATGTATATATATATATATGTATGTATATATATATGTATGTATGTATGTATGTATGTATATATGTATATATGTATATATATATGTATGTATGTAAATATACATATATATGTATGTATATATGTATATGTACATACATATATATATACATATACATATATACATATATATACATGTATATATACATAT